TTACTCCTAATAGCTACCAAAATATGGTGCTAAGTGCTAAAGACAGGATTCGAACTATGATTCTTGGCAAAGGTGAACCAATGCCTTATTAAAATGGAATAAACGATTGTGAATTAACGAATTTGTATATTCCCTCGCCCCCTTCTCCAGTGACTCAGCGGTAAGTCTGGAGGCTTATAACACTAAAAACCGAGTTTCGATTCTTGTGGTTTTCACGGAACGGACAGCCCATTGTGTAGCTTTATGTTTAGCCACAAACAAACATAACAACATTTCTTTACTGTCCCAATACTTTAGATAATAGAGTGTATGTGTAATATAGACTGAACTTTGAGACTATAAGTTTAGGAATACGACCTGTGGGAAAGCTTCCTGATCATTTTGTTTGTTTGTTGAATTTCGCTCAGAGCTTCTCGAGCTATCTGCGATAGCCGTCCCTAATTTAGAAGTGACACATTAGAGAGAAGGCAACTAGTCAACACTGTCCACAGCATACTCTTGAGCTTCTCTAATCAAATAGTGGGATTGATAATCACATTATAACGCCCCCACGACTGAAAGAGCGAGCCTGTCCAGTGATGGGGGTCGAACTCGCGATCTGTAGTTTGCGAGTCTAGCGCCCTTACCGCCAGGACATGCTAAGATGCCTTCCGTGGTCGTATTTCGTTTCTCGTTAAACTCCCCAGTAAAAGCATTGTTCTTCTCTACTTGTATGAAAATTCGTAATAAGGCGAAATTCAATTCCGTCTAAAGTTAAGAGACTCACAGTTATACGAATGTAAACAACTGGCATCTGATTAAAAATAAGAGATTGATTATCAAGATTACAGGTGAGTAATCGTGAGTATGTCATGATTAAGGACAAGTCGAAGTATCGCGAATCTTAAAGAATAACAAAAGGATTTACATAGAAATTTAAAGTTTGGCAAAAGCTCATTTGTTATACTTTCGTTTTAAATAATAACTTTAGTTCAGATATGTTAATGTCAAGGGACATTTACACGTCACCAGTAAAATTTGGTTTAGGTTAAAATTTCAAGTTAACGGACTCCTTTTTTAAAAGATTAGGTGTCTTCGGCGTGATATTCATATCAACATATGATGTGGATTACCCAGTAATTCCTAACTTGTGATTCCTGAGTGGGAAGATTCTGTATGATAAATGTAAATGTATAAGATCTTCGTGTTTCCTGCAATAAAGGTAAGCATGGGGGAGAGGATACCTGTTCACTATACCAAAAGTAAGCATGGAAGAATCTCTTTGCTACAACAGACACAAGCCTATCAAAGATGTATGTTTTTCTTTATAACTAGGCAAGACTGGATGAATGTATGTGTTTCCTACAACATGGAAGAGCCTGGAGAAACGTAACTGCTTCCTACAACATGGAAGAGCCTGGAGAAACGTAACTGTTTCCTGTAACAACGACAAACCTAGAGGAACGTAACGGTTTCCTATAACAAGGACAAACCTGGAGGAACGTAACTGTTTCCTATAACAACGATAAGCTTAGAGGAACATACATGTTTCCAAAAACAAGGACAGGCCTGGAGGAACGTACATGTTTCCTATACAAGGACAGGCTTGGAGGAACGTACATGTTTCCTATACAAGGACAAGCCTGGAGGAAGGTACTTGTTGCCTATAACAAGGATAGCCCTGAAGGAAGGTATTTATTCCCTATACAAGGACAAGCCAGGAGGAAACGTACTTGTTTCCTATACAAGGACAGACTTGGAGGAAGGTACTTGTTG